AAGATGGCGCACGTGTTCGTCAGAATGAATGCCCTGCTCTAGCCCTGCGGTCTAATGGGTTTGGTCCACAAGACTAGTCAGTGTCTCCACTCTGTGTCTTTTCCGCATTCTCAAGTTGCCAAAGAGTTGCTTTATGGAGGAGGGCCTTGGAAGCTTTAAAACATATTATTAGATAGGCTGCTAGGCTTGTAAAAGTGGATTTAGACAGGAATTTCAATGCATGGTTCTGGATGTTTTCAAATTGGTTTGCTTGCGTTTGGTTGAATGGCTCACTAAGAAGGCGCACGTGTTCATCAGAAAGACTGCCCTGCTTTAGAGTCTTATGGACTCTGGTCCTCAAGATTGGTCCCCAAGGCTAGTCTCCGTTTATGTGCCATCTATGTGCGCATATAAGAACTAGATTATATTACTACATATCCTTCTCAGTGTGCCATGTTAGTGTATGACAGTGTATGAGAAGCGACATTTACTTGTAGCCGTGTGCCATCTTAAGGTTCCAAATTCCACTCCCGCCTTTCAGAGGGGAAACCTCTTTTGGGAGGGCCTGGTCCAGAACCTGAAAGACATGTTTTTGGTGTCAAGGGACGGCAAATGGCAATGACAGTTACTGTACATGTCTATCTGTCATGAGACTGTTTATCGTTCTACGGTATGTTTCTCAAGCCATCTTTTGAGTGCTGCACCAGCAGCCCACAAGACACCAACATTCGAAAGCAAAAGAAACACACCAAATGCAACGGCAACAACCACCCCCAACTCTCAACAAACCCTGTACGAACATGTTCCAAACATTACTTCCGATTTGACATACATCAAGCATCCCCAAATGTCATCTGCACATCTGCATGGACCTCAAACACAGGGGTCACCTCAAATGGCACGCAAACCAATTATATACGTCCCGCAGAACCCCCCGTCACCATCATCTCCCAACCCACACTCCAATGCCATGCCCAATGCACAGCTCTCCACGGCCCAACTAATTACAGTGCCCATGTCTGTCGTCAAAACATGTGGGCCTCGAACGACATGCAGGGTGTGTCATGTGTTGCGCTCGGCCTCCACTTGAAGCTGAGAGGATTTCAGCTCCGCCAGGAGCCACATGGAGCGTGGCCACTCATCTGCCGGTCGTCGCGCCCGGTGGGAGCGCGGAACGTTCAGGACGGTGGACGTTCAGCGGATCGGTGGTAGCTGAAAGTCACACATGGGTTGGCAAGACTCTTCCTCGTTTCAGAGTGCCTTCAACTGACTCCACCACCAAGAATCCAAAAAGCTAAATTGACTGCAGATCCAAAGCCAAGTGTTGGTAGCATTTTACTATTGCTAAACCCATCAAACTCCTACAACAAGAGATTCACATCCTGATCCTCCTCTTCACCATCGCGGTCTCTATTTCTGCCTCGCAGGGCTTCCGTGGCCGCATGGATTACGAAGTTGGAGCGCCGCAACTGCCGCTGGCCACTCTGGCGCAACAGCTCCTGGCACCACCGAGAACGCGCAATCATCCCACTGAGCGATTCTAAAAGAGGTTGAGTGACCTTATAGGACCCGATAGGACCCGTAACCTGGGGTACCAATGGTATAGTCTATAGGGTCTTTCAACCTCTGTTGGTTGTGCTGCCAGTGTTGCCTGCTCAAGATCCGAACTCCTGTCCTGTGTTGATGGGAAGAAAGTAGATGTGGTTCTTCAGTTCGTGACCGAACTTGATATCCCGAGGTCACTTGTATATAGGCCTAGCCTATAAAAGGTCACACTGAAAAACAAAAACAAAGGTCACGAACTGAAGAAGCTGAAACCATTCCTTTTCAGAAATGAACTTGGGGATGACCACCGATCTCTGTGGAGGAAACATCCAGACTGAACAGTGAAACCATCACAAGCGCACCACCGAAGGGGTGGTTCTTGGATGTTCTTGGAGGGAAACAAACATAGGAAAAGGGTGTCTCTACCACCCGACCTCCATGGTGCTGGCATCTATCATGTGCACCACACACATGTTCTGTTTTGAACCCTTGAAGGACCTCCGAAGCATGGTGTGTGCTGGACCTGAGAGATGCTGGTGCGTGCTTTGATTGCTTCGAAAATCATATGTTTTGTGTGAATAGTAATGAACAATACAAAATGTGAAAGGATGATGCTGTTCGTGAATGAATGTTTATGCTATGAAAACTGTCATAGCAGTAGCACAAATTGGCAAGCAAAAAACAGGGTGCTACACCGGTGAATGGCGAGGATGGCCGGTGAATGCGCACTCACGGACAGGCACATCGTCTGTTTCTTTCGTTTGGTGGCACACTCTGAAGGCGGGCGCATGCGGCAAGATTTGCTGAAACCGAACAAGTGCGTGGAAAATTGTTGGTTGAAACGTTTGGGAGCAAAACTACACCAATTACGCTTTATATAGACATATACCATATTTATCACGTTTTGGTGACCCTTACAGGACTTTGCGGCGCAAAACGGGAAACCAACATGTTCCAGGACCCCCTAAGGGGTGGTTAATGGACATCCCTTAACCTCTAAAGGGCTATAGTTAGACACCCCTTAGGGGGGCCTGGTTGTTGATTGTTGTTTCAAACGAGATTGAACCTGTGGCAGCCACAGTGTGGCTTGAAGCACTTGGTCATGTGCCGCAAGTGAAAACCTAATCCTTACAAGCCATACTTGTTGCAGGTCGTTGCAGGTCTCTGACAGGCGCGGTTGTGCCATGCTTTTACCACTTCAATTTTGGCAAACCCCCGCCTTAATGGCGATCTTATGTTAGGTACCTATCTTCAGTGCCTTCATCCTATTTCTCATGATTTCTCTGCCCATCTCTGCTCTCCACATCCCTCCAACCCACCACCCCATCCTGCGCTTCGGCCCAGGGGGCAGCTGTGCAGGCATTGGCCTAATGTTTGTGCAGCACCAAAGACCTAATCAACACAAGCATCCTGGTGTGTTGTCTATTTTGCTGGGGTTAACACACATGTGTTCACATAACTGCTGATCACAAAAGAATCTAGAATCTAAAGCTACTCCAAGTCAAGTTGCCAACTTGAGGCCAGAGGGGGTGAACGAAAGCTAGCCAGGCTTCCGGCGGTCTGCTGCTGGTGCTGCTGCTGCTCTGCAGGCGCCGGGTCGTCTGCTGCTGCTGCTGCTGCTGGCGCTGGGTGGTCTGCTGCGGCTGCTGCTGCCGCGGCGTTGGGTATGCTGCTGCCGCTGCTGCTGCCGCCGCTGGGTGGTCTGCTGCTGCTGCTGGTGCTGCTGCTGCTGCTGCCGCTGCTGCCGCTGCTGCGCTGGGCGCTGCAGATGCTTGGTGTGCTGCAGCTGCTTGGTGGTCCCGCTCACCGCGCGCAGGGGGGAGTCGAACCGCGGGGGGGGGGGGGTCCATAAGATTGATTTAATCAATTATTTGAGGTTTCTGAGGTGCGTCCACCCCGTCACTTAACTTGCTAAAGCAAGAGCAACTCCAGCTAGCTAAGGCTAGCTTTCGTGATTATCTTCTTTCACACATGCTTAAACATGCAACACAGTCTGCGCGACAAAAACGCACTCTGGAGATTCTGGAGAGAGAAAACCAACTGTATATATCACGGCGGCTATGGAAGACCATTTGATTCCCGATCGTCGTGGACCGTGTAGGTCAAAAGTCAACCGTATAGCTTACAGTACTCCAGGTCTGAACCTCAGGCCTACGAACCATCGCCATACGAAGGGATTTCTCGTTCTCGAAGCAAACCCGATCGGGCTGAAAAAAAACACAGCGAAGCAATTCCACCATGCAGGCTACTTGTTTTCGAAAAGAAGGGAAGAGCTCCATGGTACCTGGTACATGGGGCGGTACTCTTAAGGATCAACAGCTACTGTAAATCAAGGTAGACCCCTAAGACATCCTTAGACAAACGAACATGTTAGATCATTTGGATGTAGCCATTTGGTTTGAGACATACCAAGGTCATGCAGTTCGCCAGTTGAAAGGCGCTTTCATCATGTTTTTGAGACCCAGTTCCTATCTAAAACTCCTATTTAAGGTCAGTGAAGCAGTTCGGTGGACCCCACCTCTCAGCCCTGGCGCCAGCCTGCGCGCCATATGCGGCAGAGCGCACCTGGGGCTCCATGCTGCTGCACCCAGCGACACGTCACGCCAGATGCCACTCTGTGAGAAACACAGCAAGGAGCTTTGCCACTGCACACCCGTGGCAAGTCCTGGAAATTGGGTTGGTGACGGTGCCTTCTAGGATGGAGACATGTGTATCTCTTTCAAAAAGGTTCCTATGGAGTGGGGAACCAGTTTGATCTGTCTTTATCAAGAACCTCAGGAACTGCTGCTACATGTGCCGGCTACTCTCTTCTTCATCTCTTTTCATTCCCATTGCAAGACCTGCACCTGAGGACCAGCACCACCCGTGTCAAGGTTCTTGGATGGTAAATAAATGTAAATTATACACATACATGGAATTCAGGGAGATGCTCAGAGTGCTTGATTCTATACTGGCCTCGATTCAGGGTTCAGATTCTATAGGGGATGTTCCAACAGAGATGGTGTCTATCTATTATTTATATACATCCATGGTGTCTATAAACCACCCCAACTGGATGGTGTTGCGCTTTCATGACCACCTGACGTTTTGACCGTCCTGGCCAGGAAGGAACATCTCGTGACCGTCGGCCGCGAGCCCCTGGAAAATCCCATTTCATGATCTTTCAGGTGGACCGACCAAGACCATGAAATCGGAAGGGTGGCCGCTCCTGGTGGCTATTGGAAGATTGGCATCTCTGCTTTCGGAGAGCACCCTAGAAAGGAGGGACACCCTCTATGAGCATCACTTCTACAGATCTGGCAATGGCCAAATCGGTGGGAAGTGAGAAACACCATGAAACACCATGAAACTGCGAGCTTCAGTGGGCGACCTGTGTGCAACCAACACGCTTGTTGTGGCCTCCCTGTGACATTCACCTGGCCAAATCCAACGCCAGCTGGTGGGCGATCAGCGTCTTCGGTGGCCCCAAAGGGCTTTCCTGCCATGCAACTTTCATATCACGAATACGAAGGGCACGAGGCACCAACTGTAGCACCTGATTTTCTGCCGGACAAGCCTCTTGCAATTCCTCCCAGGATAGAGATCTACAGAGATCTTTACCTTCGTGTCTTGCACTGGCAGTCCTTTTTAGATGCTGAACAAACTAACAAAGCTTGTCGTGGCGTTGGATGTCGAAAGCCTCCAATTCCCAACATCTCTCCCATTGGCCTCTCAATTCCAACTTGCACCAGGCTGTGACATTTTTTGTGTGCTCTCTTCCACTGATCTTACCCCAAAACCGCAAAACAAAAGCCGCCACAGATTCGCCCCAAAGACCTCTTTCAAAAGAAAACCACCTCATGGAAAAGTACGATCCATCCACTACCCCCGAAGAAGGAACCCACTTCGATGGGCCGAGTCGCGCTGGATGCCTGTCATAGTTCATCACACATCAGTAACGACCAGGGACCTCGGACGCCTTCGAAGCTCTTCGGACCTCGCCACGCCCTTCAAAGCTCAGCGTCGGCGGGGGGGGGTCCTGCGAGGATGGAGCTCTCCACGAAGGCATTCGCTTCCAGGTCCCGGCCCTGCAGATCCCGCAGCACAGCCTGGCGATCCACACTGGGGCATAGATACTTGTCCATCCATCGGATCCATTCAGGGAGACACAGACTCTATAACGTCTTCTTTCTTTTCAAGGGTCTACGAATGTCTACGATTCTGACATGCTTCTGACTTCCAGAGGTTCCGAATTGCTTCCCATCTGCGCTACGCGCAGGTGGGAGTCGTCCAACGCGCAGTGCTTTGGGGTTCGGTCCGCCGGGGCGATGTGTCAAAAGAGTGGAGTGTAGAACCTGTGACATGCTGGATGTGTTGGTCCTCCAAACCCGGGCGAATTGTGTATGTCATTGGTGCACGTATGTAAGAACAAAACAGTTTTGTTCGGAAAAAGAGTGCCAATTCTGGGATATTGCGCTGACCTCGGGAACCGAATCATATCCCCACCCCTCTGAGAAATGCGGCATTTTGGACGATGATGTGCCAGCGATGACCTAAGCCCCTGTCCGTGCGGGTAGTGCAGCCGGCCTGTGCAGCACGCCAGGTGGGACACAAGGCATAGACTGCTGCACCCAGGGAGACAACGTCCAAAGCGACTCCCTCTTGTAACGCCTGGTCAGCTTCATCGAAGAACATCATCCATCACTGAAAGGACATGAAAGGGCCATGGAATACTCTGGAAAAGGGCACTTGTTTCAGAAAACTTCCTTCTGCCCTGAAATCCAGGGGGGTCATATATACATTGTAAATATATAGTATGTTAGATAATGTTAGATATATGATATGAATCTTGTGAAGAACTTTACGCAAACTCAAGATTGAAAGACCTAGTGCTTGGTCCCTTGGAATGTGAAAGGATGAGTCTCTTGGCCCTTCAACCTCAACCTCAGATGCACCGGCATGGCGGGGAAAGCGAAAAAAGACGAACAAAAGCCCTTTTCATTTCTAGAATTTATATATTCTTATATAGTAGTAGTAACAACAAGCTATTATAGTAGCTCCTGACATTGCTACTAGTAGCAAGAAGCTACTAGTAACAAGGGTATTTCTACTATAGTAGCAGTCTCGGCCAGAATGGGGCGCAATGATTTTTTGGAAGGCCAACCATCGCACGACCTCAGAACTATGAGAGGTTCCAACCACAATTTGCTCGGGCATGGTCGTGTTTAATCCACTTACTCCATCTGACTCCTTCTTTGGCCTTTTAGACTGGCTATGTGCTGGCTGGCGCGCACTGGCTGACGCATTCACCATCACCATTGTTTCCTGAGATCTTCATGTTTTAATTGTATTTTCTACCAAAAACATTGTCAACCATAGCTTCTACCATCCACATACCCGGAAAAAAAAAGAACTATGGCCGAAACAAAACACCCTCCACCATTCGATCAAATACCGTCGAATCCAATATATGTGTACCATCCATATGATCCCCCTCCGGTATGACAGGTGACGTTGGTGTCCTATATTATGCCGGAACCAACCTCATTTTCGCTCATTTGGTCACAAACCATCTACAACTGAGTACTTTGCTAATCTTTGCTATGCCCCTCACTCAAAGCGGATCCCTCCCTGCTCCCACATGTTTTTGCCCCCACTCTTTTGGATCTTTTGGATCTCTGGTCCAGTGAGGGCCCAGGTGCGGAGAAGGTGGTGGTGCGTCCATAATTTGTGCGGTAAATTCTGGGGTTCAGTTCTGTCGTTCCACAGGACGACAAATTGGGCCTGAGGATTTGGACCGTTTGGCACTCAACGACCTGGACGGCCGACCCAGTGTGCCATACTTTGCGTTATTTTGGGTTCTTGTGGCAAAGCCCGGGTGTTGATCCAGGGTGCTCAGAGGTGTGTGAGTCAATGTGAGTCAGGCCAATTCGCTGGTATTTACGGTGCTTTGACTCAACTTCTTCAAAGATCTTCAAAGTGTATTTTGACGGCGCCAACTTGCAGAATCTGCCTTTGAGTGCGCTCTTGTGGCCCTGCACACGTGTTTGGACTTTTGCTGGCGCTCACCCAGTCACCCCCATCCCATCCCACTTACTTCCACATTGGGAGATTAGATACATATAGATACATGAATGCTAGTCGAAGTGAACGTCATTAGCCCCACCCCACCCCAGCCCCATCCCATCCCAACCCACACCACTTATTTCAACATTGGGATATGAGATTTGAAGCCGCTTGAATACTAGTTGAAATGAACGCCATGAGCCCCACCCCACCCCAACCTGACCCAACGCCGGGACATGCTGGGCCACCGCCGGGATGCCGGGACATGCCGGACATCCACCCCACCGCCGGGACATTCCGGGACAAGCTGGGACATCTGTCCCACCGCCGGGACATGCCGGGACAGTCGATTTTCCAGAGTGTTTGGTTTCGAATCCAACCAGAACAAGTCACCCTGAACTGTGGTTCCGGTGGTGTTCTCTCACATCGCCTTGGTCAGAAATCCGCTCAGTGGAATCGCTTGTAGATCGATCTGTTCTGGCCCACCTTCACCGAAAAGGGTGCCCCACTGGGAGAAAAGCGTGGAAATTTTGACTCAGGCGGAACGCATCTGGCATGTGATGTGGCATAATTTGGAACCGGAGGCGGAGCCGTCCGTGGCGCTACGAGACGTGGGTTGTCTTGGATTCTTTGTGTCCAGCGTCATGTTTTTCCGATATTTTTTTTGCGGGGCTATGGCTGAACACTGGAGCCGGAGACCGGAGCTAGCCTGACCAGATGTTTGACTTGCTCCCAATCCCAGCTTGCATAGCTTGTGTCGCTACTGATTTTCCATTGCGATTTGGTTTGGCAGCCAAATGCAGCCAAAACAGACAAGGCGACTGATTTTCATAGCAAATCAGCAGCAGCTGCCATTGCTTTCCCCCAGGGCCAGAAGAAAATCAATGTCCCCTTCATCCAACCACTTCACGTCCCGAAGCACCATTACCTGGGGAGAAGAGAACATTTTGTTGTTGATTCCCCCAAGACCGACCTTGAGCTGAGACTGAGCCGAGACAGGTTGGGTGGGCCAAGTCCACAGGCAGTGAGATGGTTGATCGTTGTTTTGCGTGTTTTTGCTATGATGTGTTTTATGGCACAATCATGCGCAATGGACGAATTATTAGATGTTATTCTCCCGTCCGAATTAGATGCAGAGGTGAACTTGTAGAGACTCTCAGGTTACATATTGGCCACTTCGGAAGTGGGTCCAGCTCGTTAACATAAGTTACATAAAGCCAGAAATAAGTAGAAATTAGCTAGAATAAGCAGAAATTTGCTCGGAATAGGTAGAAATTAGCTAGAAATAGCTGGACGTAGGTCGAAAATAGATTTGTTGTAATTATGTATATTGGCGGGGACAAAACAATGGCCCGGGTCCTGCAGAATAAGCCCTTTATGTAGTGATATGTGGTGCTGGCTGACGGATGAAAACTACATAGTCACTAGTCCGGGGCGCTGCCCCGCCGGCGGGTTTCTGTGGTGTTTTGATGAGCGTGCCTGCTGCTTATATTATAGGCTTTGATCAGTGATGACAAACTAGCACGTTTCATTTTGGATGTCCGACTCAGCATGGCATAGCATGATCAGACCAACGCATCTCTCGGTGATCCTTGGCTCACGCATGTTTACCGCGGTTTCGTCGACTTCGCTCGGCTGAGCAACTGGAGCAATATGGAGCGAGAGATGCAATTTCCCAGGCCAATCAACCGGTTGCAGGAGATTAGCTGCAGTCCTGTTGGGACAAATGCGAAAGGTAGGATGTCATGGTGCAGTGGTGTGAATTTGAGACGGCTGCGGGTGCAGAGTTTGAGCATGTCGCTCGCTGATCGCAGAAGTCAGCAGTGGGGGGTTTTCCATCGTTGTCTCGGAGGTTCTCGGAGCTGTTGCATGCTGTTGCCAGACGCTTTGTGATGCTTCCAAAATATTTTTCGGCTCGGTTCGGAGAGATCGCTGCTGCCGTCCACGGCGCCTGGCTGAAGGCCGGCATGTCCACTTCAGGGCACTTGTTGCTTTGCGCTTTTCCTGCGCTGGCGCTGCAAGCAAAGCAGTGACCACATGTTTGGTAGCCAAAGGTTAGCAAAGTCTGCGCAGACCAATCTGAACAAAATGGCATCATTTCTTAGTAGGTTGTCCACGGAAATTATGAAGCGGCCCGCAGAACCCCGCCAAACAGCAGCTAGGCGCTATAGCAAAGCGCTTGTGGCATGCTCGGTATTCTATTGACCCTGCATTCCGGGTGCTTGGCGGAATCAGCCAGCCAGCCAGCTAAAAGTATCCGGTGGAATCAGCCAGCCAGCCACCTGTATCCGGCAGAACCAGCCAGCCAGCCACCTAAAAAGTATCCGGCGGAACCAGCCAGCCTAAAAAGTCCCAACAAGTATCCGGCGGAACCAGCCAGCCAGCATCAGCCAGCCTAAAAAATCCGAAAAAGTATCCAGCGGAATCAGCCAGCCAGCCAGCCAGCTATCAAAGTACCTGGCGGAATGTGTCGAGCCAGCCAGCCGAAAAAGTATCCGGCGGAACCAGCCATCCAGCCACCTAAAAAGGACCCGGCGGAACCAGCCAGCCAGCCTAAAAAATCCTAAAAAATATCTGGCGGAGGCGCAAATGTATCCGGCGGCTGGCAGAATCAGCCACCGATAAAGGATTCGGCGGCTGCCGGAAAAAAACTCAGATAGCCACAGCTATTTAATTCAAGGAAGAGGCGCCTGTGTGGGCTTTGCTGCCTGCCTCTGTGCTGGCGCCGTGCCGCTGCAGGATGCCGCGGCCAGATGCTGCGAGTAGGTGTGCAGCAGGCAGGATCAGGCAGGAGAAACGGGCGGTCTGCTTACGCTCGGCAGGCGCAAGCGGACCAGGGTCGTGGAGCAGCGGATTATGCTGCTTTTGGATGCTTTTGGCAGGATTTCCGAACCCCAATCTGCTGCCGCGACGGGCGGTCTGCTTACGCTC